AAAAAGAAAAAAAAAAAAAAAAAAAAAAAAAAAAAAAAAAGAAGACAAAACAGCGAACTAGCCTGACCAAGAAAAGCATCAGGGCAGTCTTTTGGGGAATACCTGGTTCATGGTTTAGTAGAAAAAAAATTGTGTATCACTTTCAACAGCTGAATCAGAATATGTAGCTGCTTGAGGATGTTGTGGCCAACTAATTTGGATGAAACAAATGTTGGGGGATTGCGGGTTAACCAGTGACATCTTGACCATATATTGTGATAATTCAAGTGCTATTGATATTTCAAAAAATCTTGTTCAACACTCTAGAACTAAACACATAGATATTAAACATCATTTTATTCGTGATATAGTTGAGAAAAATATAGTGTGCATAAAGTACATTCCTACAGAAGATCAGCTGGCTGACATCTTTACAAAGGCATTAGATTATGGGAGGTTCTATAAACTTAGAAAATCTCTCGGGATGTGTACTCAATAAACATGTCCTAAAGCATGTTGCAGCACCTCATCAAACATCTTAAGTTGCAGCATACTTTACTGAAGCTTAGCTTCCTTGAATAATGGCTTCACTGTGATATATTATTCTCTAAATAAGTAACTGGAAGTCTTTCACCTTGAAACGTGATCATGTTTCATGTAAACATTCTGAGAACACTCATAATCACATAAGCCAAACTCCTCAATCTTGAATAGTCAAATCTTAGTAACTGAGGAACTTTCAAACTGAACACTTGATCATGTTCCATGTGAAATGTTTGACTTGAAAATAAGAGTATAATATATATATATATGCATGTTAGCCATTTTTTTCTCTTCTTATTTTTTTTTCTCACTATTAATCAATAAAAGATATGTTTATTATCTATGTGTAAATTTTCGTGAGTATTATTATTATTATTACTATAATTATTATTATTATTATTATTATTATTATTATTATTATTATTATTATTATTATTATTATTATTATTATTTAATTATCACAATTTATATGGGTCATGGGGTACATGGGTTAGTCTTTTTTCTCCCACTAAGTCCACTCCATATTGTGCCATGTGTTACGTGTTTTTTTAAACTTCCACATAACTTTTATTCCTCTTAATCACACTCTCTCCAAGAAAAACGCACACCACTTCTTCACCTTCTCCACTTCAATTTTTCTGCAAAAATTTGGGCTTATAAATTTCTTGCTTCTCTCTCCGAAAATTAACCCTCAAAAATCGAAAGCACAAGAAGCAATTCATTTTTTTTTACCTTCTCTCTACTGTACCATGGCATCTCCTCCTAGAAATCCGCTTCCGGCTGTTGATGATGTGCACAACGATGCTGCAGCACCTGAACCAGCAGACCCTAATTTAGCCATCATCGTTCATCCTGTCAACCTTGAAGCCATGCCGATCAGCTTCATTGAGCCCGACGACGAGCTGAATCTGATTGACCCATACGTTTCCCAGGACATGTGTCCCTCTTCCTCTGCAGGAAGATTCCCTACTCACCAGTCTTAGCGCATGAATCCCTTCCCATATCTGAATACTACTAGGTCACAACGCCGAAGGGGAGAAAACTCTCCTAGCAGAGGTGGTAGTAGGAGGTAGAAGAGGCGGCAGAGGCGGTCATACTCCAATTAGTCAATATCCACCTAGAGGTCTCCATTTGGATGAAGAAGAAACAGATGATGAAGAAACAGATGATGAAGAAGGAGATCCTACCTTTGCTGAACCAGCCAATCTCTCTCCTCAAGCTCCACTGAGTCATCTTATAAAGACTCGACTCCACCAGCATCAACTCAGGGGGAGACACTTCAGACTAACATGGCAGCAGCCTCATCTCAACATCCTGCTTCCGAAGATGTTGTTGCACATGTTCCTGAAAATGCTGTTGCACCTACTTTCTCAGACAATGCCCCTCAGAGTGTTGTTGAGGATGCTGCTCCTTATCAAGATGAAGAAATGCCAGATTTTTCTGGGATGTCCTGTGCTGAGCATGTAGATATCCCCACTGTTGATGCCCAGGACTTTGCCACCACAGTAGAAACCTCACTTCCTACACCCTCAGCTCCAAATGAAGATCCTCTGGAAACTCTGGCAGAGGCAGCTGTTCAAGTGGATGCACCATCTTCCCAGGCTGAAGAGGAAGAGAAAAGTGATGACAGCTCGGAAGTGCCCCTTGCCTCTTTCCTCAAATATCTGCCACCCTCAGAGTCAGACAGTGACTCTTCTGAGGACTCATCCCAGATGGAAGAATATGCTGCTCCACCTGTTGCATCACCTGAGCCAGCATACATCCCAGATGAGCTTGAAGACTCAGGAGAAGAGGAACCCTCAGAGGATGAGGAGCTAGACTTGGATGGGAAGGATCTGTCAACCCCTTTTGAGGTGAACAATGCTTTCAGTCCCACTTTTTATTTTGAATCTGATTCATACATAGGTCCTCAAATCATGAATTGCCAATTTATTGAGGAAAATAAAATTTCGCAAGGATGAGTTTGATAGGCATAGGATCACTGCTTTTCTTTATCAAAGAAACATCCTTAGTCTAGTTGAGATTTCCTGTCCTTATGATCCCTTTGTTGTGAAGGAATTTTATGCCAACTCTCACTTAAAAACTCCTACTGTGATTGATGAGGATAATTATGGTGATTTTACTGAGGTTTGTAAAACTCTTTCTGGAAATCGTCTCAAATCTTGGCCTGCTCACCCCAAAAAATTCAAAGTTTCTCAACTTACTGCATTTTACTCTGTCCTTTTTAGACTCACAGTGATGAATTGGATTCCATCCAAAAATGTCTCTATGATTACTAAACGTCATGCAGTACTCATGTACAAATTGGGGGTGGGTGTACCTCTTGATTTTGGCAAACTTTTCTTGAACAACATAGGTAATCTTGCACAGAAAATTTCTTCATCCACTCATCTTCCCTAACCTTCACTCATCTACTCCATTTTGCTTTCTCAAAATTTGGGCCAAGATGAATCAGAATATCTTCACACTCCACTTGGCATGATAACTGTCTCTCCCAATTTTCTCAAAGCCCCTCATGTCCAAGACCTTCCCTGGAATGGAGATAATTTTCTCCCAACTGAATCAGGTCAAAATAATCTTGGTACTAAAGGTGTTGCTCCTCATGTTGACAACACCCCTGACACCTTTGCTACTATTATCTCTGTTCCTCGAGATCTTTTGTTAAGACAGCTTACTCACTCCCTAGCTCAGATCACTTATCATCAGTCCATGGTGGAGATGCTCCAGCTAGCTCTTTCTGATCAAAAAGGTGGAGAACAAGCTAGTCATGAAGTTGCAGGGACTTCTCATCCTTTGGATGCCAGAGGTAGAGAGCATGGAGTTAATGAAGAAGAACAAAGGAATGAGGGTGAAGAAGAAGAAGATAAGGAAAGCAGTGGGTCTAGTACTAGTGATGGAGGAGCAGCAGCTGATACTGAGGAGACTTTGGATATTCTGCTTTAAAGTTATTTTTGTTATGAACAATATTTGTTTTTGTTCAGTTTGTTATTTTCCCTCTGAACTTTTATGTTAGGATTACCATTTTGTTGGTTTATGTTTGTTGAATTGTGTTGGATTATTTCTGCTGAATTTGTTTCTAAATTGATCTTCAATATTATGTTATTGCTATTTTGGTTATCAAATTCAGGGGGAGTTCAACCAATGACTCAGGGAGGTTAAGCTAAAATTTAGTTTTGATCAGAAAGTTAAAAAGGGGGAGTTTGAAACACGTGGAATTCCACAATTTGTTTTTAACTCTCTTATTTTTAAACTAAATTTTAGTTATAGAATAAGTAGTGCTTAGTGGGCTAAGTATAATACTTAGTGGGCTAAGTATAATGCTTAGTTGGTTAAATTGAGGATATTATCTTAACTACTAAACTAACCCACTAACCCATGTTCTTGAGTGTTCTTGTAGTCGGTTTTCTTGCAGATCATGGCCTGAGGAGTGGAAGCTTGGAATGTTTATAAATACCGGCTTCAAGACTCAAGGAAGGTTAATGGATTCTAAGAAACAAAAACCGAGAGCTGAAAAGAATACATGAGAGTTTTAGTGTGTTTTTTAAATCAGTTGTACGTACTCCTCATGAATACATTCTTTGTAGTCTATATTGTTTAGTATATAGTTTTTATGTTTCTAGATTTGGTTGTAAGAATGATGAAGATAGTGATTCATTCATAAGAAAGAAGTTCTTGTACTTCTTCTCTTTGTATTCTTGTAATACTGTTTTAATATAAGTTTACGTCCTTTAAAGGCCAAGTTCACAAGTTTTACTTGTGAACATTTTTAAATCTAAGTATTGTCTTTATATTTCCGCTGCATGTTTATACCAGTGTCATAACACTTAATATAACACCTCTGTATTAAACGAATTCGGGACCATTAATTCTTTCCGATTTCATATTCCTAATTGTTACTCTTTTCTTACTCTTTGATAA